AGCAATATTTCTCTTCTCTTCTCCTTTATACACTTATAATCTCATAATATCACAGTTTGTATATCATATTGAATTACAAATTTGCCCCTTTTACTTTGAATAATTAAGATAAAAATGTTAGATCCCCTCCATTACTGTGAAGCAATGCAAAACTTTTTAAAAGAGGGAAGTATTGCAAATCATTTCATTTCATTTTATTTTGTTATCTTGAGAAACTTTGAGAAATCTTGAGAAAATAACTTCTTCAATTGCTTCAACACTGTACGACACACATACTGTACATTGTTGTAAATGGTCTGTATTATTGGCTAGTATCTGCACTGACAGTTTAGTGATGGTGGTCAAATAAACACATTTTAAGCCATTTCAACTGCATGCAGCCTTTTTGATTTGGGAGCACTTCTGCATTTTGCTTTTATGGTTTACATTGTGCAGTATCTGGAGATACTGTTCTTGGCATTTGCTCTAGTGCTTATTCATTTAAAACATTGCCTTATTCAGCACTACTGTGTTCTCAGTGTCTGATAACATCCTGTTTACACGTGAAAGCACTAGATTATAGTTATTTTTTGCAAAGAACTGGCAACAGTTTTATTTTTAACCATTAACTATATACCTCCATATAGATTTTAGAACTTGGACTGTAAATCAAGAAGAGTCTTTGGGTTTTGTACTGTTGCTTTGGTTCTGGGAAATTGTGGGAAAAACATTTTTCTGTTTTGGCATTTTCTAAACAATCGACTCATCCTGATTTAACAGATTACATTAAATTACTCTGTTACAAGTACAATCCATTTATTCTATAAATTATTATAGTCACAATTAAACAAAGCTCAAACTCTCACCTACAAGTGTCTTGTTTTATCCGACCAACAAACCAAACCTGAAAGTTCAGTTTGCAGCAATTCAAGACAAGGAAATGCAGCAAATTGTCAAATGAAAAGATGAATCAGTTGTCGAAACAGTTGCTAATACAATTTATAGATTTAAAAAAAAACTTTCATATACTGATGGGTAGTTTAATTTTTTATAAAGCAAAATGTTTTAAAAGTTCTTAATTAGTTTTCTATGTCAAATCTTGATTTGCAAAGTTATTTGTGCACAAACGATTAAAATCATGACATTTATCTGTACCAAACAAACGTGTTCTGTTCCATCTGTACAACAAGATTTGTAAGCCAGGGCTTCTCTGCAGCACTACAGTACTTCATTATGATGTCGTGTCACACATTTTACATTTATCAGAAAATTGCAGCTTATATTGCACTTGGCCATATTAAGATTTTACACATAATTCAATTAATTGTGCAGCCCTTATGTGGAGTACCTTTTAAAAGATAGTAGAGTAGAAGTGTAATGAAACAAGTACACCTCAAATTTGTATTCAAGCACAGTACTTGAATACATGTACTTAGTTGCATTCTACAGTGCTTTCACTTAAATAAATGATTTAAATATTCTCACTCCATAATAATTCATTATTTTACCTGCAGAGGTTTGAAGTGACCATTAACCACATAAAATTAAGCCCCACTGGACTCTTCCAACAAATAAGCTCCATATATATTTAGGTTTAGTGAACAAAGTGATCAACTCCTTTCTGTCGTTTGTGTTCCACCTCTATTGCTACCAGCTAACCTGGCCTTCAGTTCACTTGGTGATTGACTCTCCAGCAGTGCAATACCCTCTTTCACCACACAATGTCACTGACACCTGCCTACCATTGCAATCCAGAGGGGCGCTGTTTGACTTATTTGAGGAAACTCGATAAAAACACAGGACACACAAACAACCACAGTGTTTTATTAAATGAAAGTGTTGATAAATAAAGTATGGTAAGTTGACTTCCTCTTCACAAATAAGGTGATTTAAATTTTAAGACAAGAAAGCAGCAGTACAATGCAAATTATAAATCACAGTAAAGAAAACATTCAAACTACTTTAGAAATATACCAAATGCACTCCTTGAATATATTAACAGCTGATTCTATGTGTTCTCACAAAATAAAGTATGGCATTGAAACAATTTTATAATTCAGGCACAAAGACAGAATTATACATGCTTTTATATTCTTACTATATCTGCCTTTAAATCCAAACACGGTATGACAAAACAGAGTTCAGCCTCTGGTGTTATAGCTTCTGTTGCCAGACTACACAATTGAATTTCAGAAATGTACATATTTCTTAACCCATAATATCTTTGGTAAGTAAGTCAGTATGTTGTGATCCTGCTAATGAGCTGGTAAACTGAGGATTGAGAAACTAAACACTTAGCAGACATGTATTGTGGCAAATTATGGATATGTTTGTTGATGATTATCTTTAATGTTGGCATCATAACAAGCTTATAATAAAAATGCACACCTGTGTCTGCATTGCTGCCTCTCACTGAGAAAATTAAAGTCACCCAGATCAGAACAAACATTATGATTTGATGACTGAGATGTTCAGTCTCTTCCTCCAAAGGACAATGTTTACATTACAAGTGCAGTGACAATGTAAGATGTTCAGCTGATGAAACCAAGGACTCCCCAGTTGAAATCACAGGTCTTAAAACAGGATGTTGCACGTTCAGTTATTCCATTGTTGCTTAATGAAATTTTGTTACCACTTCACCTCTGCTGTGACTGATCTCTTGGTAAACCAAGGAAAGGTTTTATTTAAATGATAGTTACAACAAAAGCTCTGATATAACACATAGCTATAATCTCTACAATATTCCAGGGCCCCTGTCCAGGTCTGAGCCCCTTGAATTATGGATACCCCGACTGTCAACACATGCTCTTACAAAATAAATATATGTAATCCTCCCATCTTCAGGCGCCATTTCTCTTAACACAGTCCACCTTTCCTTATCAGCAACAGCAATGGACATTTATGGGAAAGATCAATCGCTTCAATTTCTTATAATTCAAAATAGACATTTATAACAGATATTTATATAAAAAAGTAAAGGAAGTAAATGTTGTGTTTTACCTTGTTTTATTTTGTTCTCCTGCTCTTTTCTCTCGACACTGATCTCTGTGAGTGTATCTGCTCTAAACTGACTCTTCCTTTCTTTACTTGTCTTTGCTGTTTCTTCCCACTTTGTGCAACAAAAAGGATTCAGGAGGTGTCCCTGCCCAGTGTTAGATATTTTCATATTTCTCTTTTTCCGAGGCTGACACACATACATACAGGATGTGACATTTATACATAAAATCACATTGTGTATCATATCATTTTGGAAAACTTTTTGAAAAGGGTGTGTGTGTGTGTGTTTCATGAGGATAAACTATAATAATAAATAATAAATAAACCAGTAGCATATCTACAATGGCCATTGGGTATCATCGTGGTCAAATTTATTTGAAGTTCAAATCCCTGTAAATTGTAAGAGAAATCTTATTTCTCAGTTTTAACAATCTGCAGCCAAGGAAACATCCTCTTCCACGGAGGCTGCCATGTTGAACCACCATGTTTCTATAGTCGCCCAGAATGGGCAAATGACACTGGCTCTAGTTAGGGCCCTATACATTTTTTGCAACTTTCAAGGCCACCTTATTTTCTCCTACAGGCTTAGAAGGCTGAGCTGTATTTAAATGGCTGGAATCTGCAAGTTCACAAAGAGATGCCACTAAATCTGACACACTGGTCCTTTAAGTACTCATGATAACCCCAAGTTCAAGACCAACCAGCTAAAATCTTCCTTCCTTCCTAGTCTTTTCCCACCTAGTATTTACTCTAACCCTAACCCTAACCCTTATTTGTAACATTACTTTATCAGGATGGTTGCAAGTACGACGAGCTGCAGAGACAAATATCATATTATCTTCTGACTGCTGAGATCTCTTTTAATGACTCAAATAATAACAGTTACATTAAGCATGGCTATGGCTTTAGCTTCCCTAATTGCAGAGTAACAGATATTAATTTCTCTCAGAATATAGACAGAAAAAATCCAGTGTCATATTTCATATTGCGTACCTATAAAAATAACCCATTGTCTGGCTGTAGGCAGCTTTAATAGCGATCAGGGATCTTATAAAATTATTTACAGAGACCCAACAGATCCCACCACCAAAGAGAGAAGGACAGAGACAAAGATGCACAGCAACAACAACAGCAACAACTATACAAGTAGAAATTACTAATAATGATGATAGTGATGATGATGATGAAGCAATAACAAATACATTTTATGAGCATTGCCACATTAAAATTTGAGGTAAAATATTTATATATATTTCAGATCTCCAGACTGGTTGAGAAATCTGCAGAACACTTAAACCCTGGCTACAACTGATGACTGTGGATTACACTGAACATGCCAAAGGGTAATTACGCAGATTATGAGGATGACATTCACAATGAGAGATACAGTAGCGACGGCCCAGGGAAGCACTGCACTTAGTCCGTGCTGATCTGCGAATAGAAATGACATAATGTAGATTATATAACTGTTCAAGTGTTATATTTATATTGTAAAAAACATTTAGATAAAATAAGTGTACAGCAGATCACATAATTGAATGTATGGTTTCCATCATCTTACATACATTCTCATAAGATACTAACATACTTTTTCATAGTATGTATTTGGTTAAGATGCTGCAAATTAAACACAATAATTCCTGTAAACCTTAAGCATAAAAACCTTCCAAAAATGTGAGGGGAAGAACTCCTGAAGGATCATTTACATGAGTTTCATTAATGTATATTGTACATTAACATCAGAACAAATTAACATATAGTTAAATTGAGGAAGAGGAAATCACTTAAAAAACAAAACATTTATCTCCAATAAAAGTTTGGATGTGTCTCTTACTTACAAGTCACAGTTACATCAGCAAATATAGTCACAGTCGTGCCCAGGTGTTGTGCTGTACAGATGTACTGTCTAGAATGTTCTGCTGTCACATTATGGATGACAAGTGTGTTTGATCCAGTTCACTGTGCAGGTTTGTGTTGGAACCAAGAACAGTCCATGTGATGCGAGAGGGAGGAAAGCTTTCAACACTGCAGGTCAGATTCAGAGTTTGTCCCCAATTAACATCTGTATTCCCAGGGATTACAGGTTTCTTCATATCTGTGAAGCACATTTTAAACAATTTTTTAAAGTTTATATATAGCAGTGGTGCAAAGATAATATATATATTTTCAAATGAACTAAATAAATGAAAGTACATTTAAAAGTCATTATATACATTACAATATCTTAAAATACTGATAGACCATAAATTGTGGGAATATGGCAAATTATATAAATGCATGTAAATATAATTATTCCAGAAGTGCAACTCCATAAGACTTCTTGAGGTATTATACTGACTTTTGAGTCCTACTGACACAGAAAAAGGCAGCCATAGCATATGTGCTATCCCTAATACTGTATAAATGTAGGTATTAGTCATACATAGAGAGGAATCCAAATGAATATGAATGAATATATAGTAGTGTGATATATAAAGTACATAATTAACATGAGATACACATAATATAAACAAATTATATGTGTAAATGTTTTTGCAGTCTGACCTTTCTTTTTTTCTAAGTAGTACCACTGGAGGGCACCATAGTCAAAAATTGTTCAAAATCGACACACAGTACATTAAGTGAGAGACAACAGACAAAAATTTAAATAAAAATACACACTAAAATCATCCCACACAGGTACGGCAAAGTTATTCAGAATGAATTTGGCAGGATTATTAACTAAATTCATAGTTTCAGGTACTTAAATTATTAGAAGAAATATTTTCTGTCTTAGAACAGTTGTACAGTGTATTTACACAGCATTGTTCAACATTTTCCATCAGGATGTTGTTCAGATGTTTTTACATCTCTTAGCAAACATTAGATGAACAATAAAGGATGATAATACAGCACATTATGTTTTACTCACAGGTTACATTCAGAGTCACTGTGTGACCTTACAGGTGACATTGGTGCCGTGGTGTTTAGCTGAAGGGTTAAAGGTCAAAGTTGAGCTGTGTCTCTGTGTGACAGCAGTAAATTTCTTAGTCCTGAACTCAGTGATGTTTCCTGTGATGGGAGAGTCGTTCTCTCCTGTTCCTCTCCACATCCAGGTGATTTTAGGACGAGATCCAGAGCAGAGACCAGGAGCA